GAAAATGGTCGTGGGGGACGACACCCCCCCAGCCCCCTCTCCCAAGCGTGCATGGTGGCCTACACCCCCCCACGGCACCTCCCCTAATTATGGTTTTCTACACAGCCTCGCGGCCAATCCTCACGAGGCGGTGGGTCATCCACCCCCCGGCCCCACCCCCAACTTTGCCAGTTTCTCACTAGCCCCCCCCTCCCCCCCCCCAGCCGTCTCGTCAACAGCCAGCCCCGGCGACCCCTCCCAAAACGACGAGTGAACAGCCAACCCCGGGGACCCCTCCCCAAGGTTGACGGGTGGGACAGCCAGCCCCGGGGACCACTCCCCAAGGTGGGCGGGTGGGACAGCCAGCACCTGGAGACCACTCCCCAAGGCGGGCGGGTGGGACAGCCAGCACCCGGGGACCACTCCCCAAGGCGGGCGGGTGGGACAGCCAGCACCCGGGGACCACTCCCCAAGGCGGGCGGGTGGGACAGCCAGCACCTGGGGACCACTCCCCGAGGCGGGTGGGGCAGAAGAACATCTTGTGTGGGGCCCAGCGCTCATTTGCGTGTTCACCACGTGCACCTGCTGCAGAGCTGCATCCGTGTGGGCTCTGCGTGCCTAACTCCTCCCAAATGCCCAGCTTGGAGCAGATGGCCTAGCGTCCCCCCGCCAGGCACCCACAGAGGAGGGATCACGGACAACCTGGAGGGCGCAACGCCCAGGCTGTCTTTCCGCTCTGTGGCCAGAGGACCTGGCTCTTCCCTCCCTCCTTTCCCTGCTTGAGCCGATAGATGTATTCTCGGTCCCCGTGGTTCCCAGAGCCTGTCCACAGGCCCCACGTGTGGCTCAGCTGTGCTCGCGGGGTGTAGTGTGATGGCGCTAGGATGGAGCCGGGTGGCGGGCTGGGCCAGGGAGTCAGCGCAGAGCCCTCTGGGTCGCTTAGTGTCAGTGGACGGCAGGGCCTGGGCCGGTCGCCCCCTCCCTCCTGGTGTGGGGCACACGAGCACCTTTGTTTTGTGCCCACCTTGTCTCTCTGATACGAGGGTGAG